CTCAGTGAGAGGTAGATGAGCCCCAGGAGGAGCAGAGTGGCTGCTGGGAAACTTGAAACAGCTTTGGAACAAAATCATAATTCACCTCAGACACCCAGATGAGTTAAAGCTGTAGAATGTCCTTAAAGATGTTCGTGGCAGTAAACACACCAAATTCTTGATTAAGGAGTGTGATTACTCTTCCATGAAAGATGTGCATGAAGAGGCCCTTTTCTATAAACAATTTATTTTCTCTCCTTCTCTGGAGAGCAGAGGATGAATGTTTCTTCCGAGAAGATTCAGGCTTTATACCCTTTATTACACACACACGCACACACACACACACACATACACTGTTCTACGTATGTTTGTGGGGAACTTAAAGGGAATTTGTGTATTCCTTGACGCTTATCCAGGCACCTCAGTTTAAGATGCTTTAAACAAAAAAAATCTTTACTGTTTGTTTCTGAAACTGTGTTGGGTAGCTGTCTAGATTCTTCTCAAAATTCCCTCTTTCAAAGCTTTTACAATATGTGTCATTGCAAGTCTGTTAACAGCTGCTCATCACTCTTTTGAGGGCACATGCATGAGGGGTGAGGTGGTACATGTTGGCCTCTACTTCCTGGGCTTTCTTACAGGTTTCCAGGGCTCACAGAGATTAACCACTGAAGTTTCTAATACTGCCAAGGGTTTCCTGAAATGTGCTTTCAAACACAGGGGACAGGACCAAAGCTCTGGTGGCAGTTGTGGAAGTCATGGCACAGATTTCCCTTCAAGAGAGATCTGGTGATGGGTGAGCAACCAGCTGCCTGCCTCCAGCTGCAGAGCATTTAGGACCCATCACAGTTCAAGTGCAGACCACTGTCTCCCCAGAGAGCTCCCAGGCAGTGACCCAGCATGCTGGGGGTACCAGCCCTGGCCGTTTCTGCCAGTGCAGGGTTTTTCTCTGGGACCCTTTGCACACTGGTGGGTCAACTGAGACTTCCTGCACTGCAGACAGAGGCTCCTCCTGCTCAATCTTCCCCTCTTCCCCTCCCCCTTTCTGCCCGGGTGTCAGATCTGCACAGGGGTCTCAAGGCCTCCTCTGCCTACCTTCTTTACCCTTTATCTTTCCCAAGTGTTCCCCCAATAGGTCTCTTGCTGTCTGCTTCTGAGAGGATTCTGAACGGAGACAGCTCTGCTCATAGGTAACATTGTTGGCCACTTCACACAATCCCATTTTACTTTCACAGATCCCCAGCTGAAAACAGCCTCCACATCTTGCCAACCCATTTTGTCACAGGGTTAGGAGTTTGCTGGGTGTTGGGTTCCATTCTTCTGTCCATGCAGTTTTTTAGGGTTCATAGTACCACCCTCATTCAGCCTCTTGTAGGGTGCTTAGATTCCCTGGAGATGAGACAGAGGCATCAAGTGGTCAAAAACATACTTTATTTCTGTATGAAGATTCTTTCCAGGATCCCAGGATGGAAAACACAAAAACTTCAGGGACTACTCCTCTCTATTTACATGATTCTTCTTGAAATCCAGGTCAACAAGGTCAGCTCCCAAACCCTCTTTTCCCAGCGTTCCATTCAGTCCTTCCAAGAGAAAGGGCATTCCGGACTGTCTTAGCATTCCAGTGGGAGGTGAGGAGGACAAGGACCCCTGTCCCGTAGTTCCTCCCACATAGGTCTCCCTCCCCACCCCTCAGTTACTACAGCCCTACTGGGAGTCCATGACGTACCTCCGCTTCCCTCTGAGAAAGAATGAGGAGGGATTGGCACAATATAAATAGCACATTGTCAGCAACTAAATCCCACATTTTATAAATAACATAACAAAGATGGCCCCATGATGCCTTACATTTGACTACTACTGATTAGTACATCAAGGATAAACACTGAGTGACGCATTTCTATAAGAATGAGACCCATGCACAGTGCACATCTTGGTGTTTCTCACCCATGGGAGGTAACAACGATTTTTTAAGTTAAGTGGTGGTTGGAGAGTGGGTCAGAGGAAGGCTTGCTGGGCTCTCTCAGAGGAAACGTTCCACCAGATTTGAAACCGACCCACTCGGTCTTATTATGTCAGTGATGATGCTGTCTAACCACATCCCTTCAGGTCCCCTGGACTGACTGGTGGTTCCCTTTGGAATTATCTCAGCGAGCTCTTGTTGCAAAAGCCTATCTTAAGGTCGTTGCCTTTGGCTTGATTACCTCTGTTCAATGTGAGTCTTTAGAATCCTATGGAGAATCTGCTTCCCAGCTGCCTCCATGCCTGCTGGGTAGCCTAGACCCACTAAGACTGGGGGGTTAGCAATGGCTTATCTGGTAGGCTTCTCAAGAGCAGAAGAAGCCATGTGTCCCCAGCTCAAGGTCAGGTCTAGAGCAAGTGCTTAATAATCCCTGTTGAATTCAACTCTAACCTCTTCCACGGAGAGGATGTCCCCTATCCCTTAACACTTTCTTCTTGGGTACCTCTCATAATCACGCTGGTTCTTAAATCCCTCTGAAGTGAATAATCCATATATGGCATGATTCTTTATCAGAAGTATGACTAACACTTTGGGCACTGACTTTTGTTGCCCCAAATTTATGTGTTCTAATCACATATTTACATTGAGATGGCTTTACTTCATTTAATCCTTCTCATGCTGCTTTGGAGAATATGGCTGTCAAGTCTTTCTGGCTTAGACTGTTGCTATACAAATTCCTCCTGGTTTGCCAATGCCTGTAGGGTTAGAGCCAGCATGGCTGGTAAAGGCTGTAAAGTCTATTCCCAGCATTGTTCCCTCAAAATGATGGATGCAGAACATATGCCTACATTCTTCAAATAATGAGGAAGGCATTCATGGTAGTTACATGAAGTTTCTGCTTTTAGCCACGAATGGACAAAGTGCAGATCTGGAAGACAAAAAGAAACTGCATGCCTACCTGCTGGAAAACCCAAAACTGTGTTAGGACATGAAGCTTTAAGTTCAGGACTCTTGGTCAACTGGCTGTTCCATAGGGTTGATCAATCATCCCACCTCTTATAGACAGGAAACCAGCAAAGCCAGGGGGCAGGAAGGGGAGATTCAGAGAGTCTAAAGGGAAGATGCAAGGTGGCCTCTTCCCACAATTGTTGTTGCAGGGTGCAGCCTCCTCAGTCATTCGGCATCTGAGTGTATTGTATGCCTTGTGTTAGTATAAAGCTAAAACTTGATTAGTGCCCCTGCCCTAAGACACCCCAAAGGTCAGAGCAGAGAGCCCACATCTGTCTTCCCTGATGGCATTCTCCATCTCTGAGTCTCAGCCTGCTAAAGCCTGATGAGGAGATGCAGGCTTTGACGTGAAGTCCTCTGCTCTGTCATAGACCAAAATCTTCCAGGAGAAGGAAAGTACTCATGGTTTTAGGATAAATCAGAGAATGTCATGTATGGATATTGACACATGGTCTTGGCAGTCGCCACATCTCTAGTTGCTGGATGTTAAATTGGTAAACTTGCTCCTATTCTTTCTGTGACTACCAATTTTTGGTGAAATACACAAAAAACTCATAAAATCATTGAACCACTGGATGCTGAAATTCCAAGGAACACCTTGATAGTAGAATTCAGCCTCGTAGTTCTACAAATAAGGAAAGAGGCTCAGATAGGTAAGTATGGCACAGCTCTCACTCTGGGTCCACAACAGACATTAGCTAGTATCAGTAGACATATTCTAGCTGCACTGATTGCCCAGGACACTCGCTGGGGACATAGTGCAGATGACCTTGAGGCTCTCCGTCCCATGATGCACTGAGATTTTGAGATGCCAGGAAGGGGCAGAAGTATGCCTTCTTTTCATGGGTGCTTAGAAGACAGGGTTCAATCTTTCATTCATATCTTATGTGGTTCCTCCTTTTGTTCACTTTATCAAGCAGAGACTGAGCCAGTGTGAGCCACCAGCTAAAGGAAGATAATCTAAGCAAGACTGAGAACAAATTTATTGATGCAGGACAGGGCTCCAGGCAAACAGATCCCTTGGATCTGTTGCTTCACTGCAAGATGCACCTTGAAATGAGCACCCACATGCAATTCAAGTTAATTCTAGGATCATGAAATGGACTGTAGAGAAAATCAAGTCTAACCTTCCCATGTTACAGGCTCAGAGAAGTTTGATGATTTGTTTCAGGTCACACGGCTTCTGGGTGACAAAGACATGGAAGAATCCAGGCTTTTGACTCCAGGATGGAATGTTTTCCCTAAACTATTCTGACCCTTTCACAGGCCCCAAGGATGTTTCCTATGGTTTCTATATTGAGGATTTATTCATGCATGACAAAGAAGTGGTGGTCAAGCTACTGATGGCCCTGTGATCTAGGAGAGCGTGTTGGAGTAGAAGCTGAAGCTCTCTGTCATGGTCTTGGAGTCGCTGCGAGAGGAGCCATTGGAGGTCTGGTCCAGGGATGAGGGCATGGCCTTGGGGCCTTCCTCCAGCTCTTCCTCATGGGCCCCCACCACGGTGGAGACAGTGGTCTCCAGGCGGCTGACTTTGTACACGCTGCCCTGGGTCTGGAGGTACCGAGTGGATTTCATTTCAAGCCCCTCATAGTCACCAGCACTGATAAAAGGGCAGCATCGGAAGGCGTGCTTGAAGCCCTGACGGAACCTGGGGAGAGAGAGAGGATGGAGAGGTAACCCTTGGGGATGGCCCACTTTTGGAGGGCTTTCTCATCACTGCAGTAACTCTGTAACACATGGTCATAGCCAAACATGACTCTGTGTGATTATTTTTTAAATTAATTGACAGCTGGAGGTGCCAAGGGCAACAAGATTTAAAGGTCAGTCATCAAGGTCAACTCCAGGACTAGAACCCAGGATCACATGAAATGCATGTCCATACTGAGGGCAGTGGTTGAAATATGCTGCCTTCACTGGTTTGGGATCAGCTGATTTTGGGTCAATTCAACATCAGTAAAAACATTCACCAAGTGTTTAGTGTGCACACAACGCTGTGTCAAGACAGTCCTTTTCTTCAAGTGGCCCACTGACTTTCTGCCAATCACGTCCCTTCAGTGTGCCTCACTTCCCTTGTTTTTTTAAACAGAGATTTAGCCTTT